AAGATTTAAAATTTAGTAGTTATACCGAAACAATTTTCTATAAAAATTAAAATAAATTTGTAAAATTTTATAAAAGTTAATTGAAAATTCATAAATAATTATTTTTGAAAAAAGTAAATGAAAAGATTTAAAATTTAGCAATTATACCGAAATAATTTTCTAAAACTTTGTTTTGAAGACATTCATAAATGAAAAAACTCTCAAACTACACTTATTTCAATTGCTTAAAGATTATAGTAAACCGTTAGCATCATTCTCACACTCGAAACTGTAAATTAATTGTACACGTTATGAGCTTATAAGCCGACCAAAAAAAGGACAATTATTCACTCATAAATTAACTTGTACACGTATTGCACACTAAATGTTAGCAGGCATAACGGTAAATTTTACTAATTAAGACCTTTTTCTGAAACGCGTTATTCCAACACGTCAATTTCAAACCAATAGGAGCGTAATGCCGGTCAACGCTTGAACATCATCATCGTTGCCGAGGGCGCCATCGATCGTGAAGGCAATCCCATCACCGCTGAGGATGTGAAAAAAGTGGTTGTTGACAAGCTGCAGCAGGACACGCGTATCACTGTGCTCGGTCACGTGCAACGTGGTGGCAATCCGAGCGCCTTCGATCGTGTTTTGGTGAGTGCTTGCCATAAATAACAACAAAAATGCATTTTAATTTTCACATACGCTTTCACCCGCAGGGCTGCCGCATGGGCGCCGAAGCTACGCTGGCACTTATGGAGGCCACTTCCGACTCGGTGCCATGCGTTGTCTCATTGGACGGCAATCAGGCGGTGCGCGTGCCGCTGATGGAGTGCGTGGAACGCACCAAGGAAGTTGCACAAGCGATGGCGGAGAAAAACTGGGAATTGGCAGTGAAATTGCGCGGACGCTCGTTCGAACGCAATTTGGAGACCTACAAGATGTTGACACGCCTGAAGCCACCAAAGGAGCTCGTCGAAAGCGGACGGGTGAGTTGTGAATGCATGCAATTTTAAAGTAATTTTAATTGTGAAACTTCTTGTTGTTGTGATTATAGCAGGGTTACCGTTTGGCGGTTATGCACATTGGCGCACCCGCTTGCGGCATGAATGCTGCCGTACGCAGTTTTGTGCGTAACTGYATTTATCGTGGCGACACCGTTTTCGGCGTACATGACGGCATTGAGGGTCTCATTGCTGGCAACATCAAGGAAATGGGCTGGTGAGTAACGGCTAACGTCATTCATCACACAATRATTCCTGATTGTATTTTTTGCTATGCGTTAGGTCTGATGTAACCGGTTGGGTAGGTCAAGGTGGCGCTTTCCTCGGCACTAAGCGCACGCTACCCGAAGGCAAATTCAAGGAGATTGCCGCACGTCTTAAGGAATTCAAAATCCAAGGTTTACTCGTTATTGGTGGTTTTGAGGCCTATCATGCGTGCGGTCAAATTTCCGATCAACGACCMAACTATCCCGAATTCTGTATCCCAATGGTAGTTGTACCATCGACTATTTCGAATAATGTTCCTGGCACCGAATTCTCGCTCGGCTGCGATACTGGTCTTAATGAAATCACCGAAATCTGCGATCGCATACGTCAGTCGGCGCAGGGCACAAAACGTCGTGTCTTCGTTATTGAGACAATGGGCGGCTATTGCGGTTATCTCGCCACTCTGGCGGGCTTAGCTGGCGGTGCTGATGCCGCATACATTTACGAGGAGAAATTTTCCATTAAAGATCTGCAACAGGACGTCTATCACATGGCATCCAAAATGGCTGAGGGTGTGCAGCGTGGTTTGATTTTGCGCAATGAAAAGGCATCTGAGAACTACAACACCGATTTCATACATCGTCTTTACTCGGAGGAAGGCAAGGGGCTGTTCTCATGCCGCATGAATATTTTAGGTAAGTGCGCAAATATTTATTAATGTGTTTAAATTGATATACAACTTTCTTTCCGTCTAGGTCACATGCAACAGGGTGGCTCACCAACACCATTCGATCGTAATATGGGCACCAAAATGGCGGCCAAATGCGTTGAATGGTTGAATGGACAAATCAAGCAAAATACCAAACCGGATGGCACTGTACGTTGTGAGAGCAACGATTCAGCCTGTCTGCTCGGCATTGTACGTCGCCAGTACCGTTTCACACCGTTGGCTGATTTGATTGCCGAAACTAACTTCGAGTGAGTAAAGTTTATCGAGTGTCTTTTATACTTTCGTATTTGCTGTTATTATATTAAAAATAAGTTCAAGTGTGATTAGAAATACGAAAAGACTTTTTTAGACTACACCATATGATTATAGAGCGTATATATAATTGAAGAGCGTATATTAAGTTCGGCACGAAGTTTGTAATACTTAGAAGGAAACGTCGGAGACCCTAAAAAGTAGATTTATACTAATAAAAATGATCGGTGTGACAAGCTGCGTTTACATAGTCATATCCATATTTGTCTGCTAATATGCTATACAAGGCCCTCAGTTTTTGAGTTATCGGTATGAAACTTTGTACATGTCATTTTCTTCCAAAAAAGTCACTTATTCGGCGGTGCAGCCGATATCGAACCACTATATCATATAGCTGCCATATAAAGTGAATTATTTAATTCAGGTTTTTATACAGAAATTTTTTTTTTTGGCAAGGTATGTTCATGCAATTCAGCACTGGTATTTATCCAAGTCAATGCTACAATCCACGAATAAATTATTCACCTCGAACCCCTATATCATACAGTTGCCATATAAACTGAACGATCGAAACCAGTTTTTGTATGAAGAATTTTTTTGTTTAACGAGATATCTTCACAAAATTCGGCATGGATTAGTGTCCTAGGTAACGCTACAATATCTGAAGAAATTGTGTAGATCGGACTACTATAGCATATAGCTGTCATGCAAACTGAGCGTTAAAAATTTAGTTGTGGTATGAAAAACTTTGTTGTTTAACGTGATATCTCCACGAAATTTGGCATAGATTTGTGTCTAAGGCAACACTAAAATATTCCAAGAAATTGTCTAGATCGGACCCCTATGACATATAGCTGCCATATAAACTAAACGATGAAAAACAAATTTTTATATGGAAAGCTTTTTTCATGAAATTCAGCACAGGTTATTGTCCAAATCAATGTTACAATATCCGAATAAATTATTCAGATTGGACCTCTATAGCATATAACTGTTGTACAAACTGATCTATCAAAATAAAGTTCTTGTACGAAATTCTTCGTATTTTTAAAGCCTATTACAGCTTATGTGCAACTGAAGTTTTTCTATGTTTTCTCTCAACTTAGCTGTTATATAATATTTGTTTTTTTTTTCTTTACAGGCAACGCATCCCCAAGACACAGTGGTGGCTGAAATTGCGTCCACTGTTGAGAATTCTAGCCAAACATGACTCTGCCTATGAAGAAGAGGGTATGTACATTACCGTAGAAGAGGAGTGTGCTACCGATGCCGTTGCTTAAGTATTGGCTACAACACAAAATAGTCGTGTAGCAAGTGACAAACACACACGCACACACACATTAAAGTATATGTTACTCGTATTAAAACATCGCCAGTTGCAATAAAGTATAAGCTACCGCGAAAGCGTCAAAGTTTGAAAGAAAAACAAAAAGCAAAACACATTCATGAACAAATAAATACAGAAGTAAATAGTAAACATACATACATATAAATATATTTATCTCATCACATGGTGCTTTGTTAGGTTAGCAAAGTACATCATTATTTTATTTAAATAACTATTATGTTAAATACATTCACAAACATTTAAAAACTACATACACACACACACATGTACACACAAATTTGTTTCATAATGTGAAGAAAAAAATTACACTTGAAAGTTGTTAACAAAAAAACTCAGGTTCTAGCACAATTCTACAAAAACTCTGTTTAATGTTGAGTAACAGTAGGAGCAACCGAAAATGTATATTTTATGTGCATCAAAAAACAAAAAACAAAAAAAAATATCGCTTTATGGCATTAATATTTTCATGACTTTTTCGTTTTTAATTTTATTTTTAATATTTTCGATAATTTAACTTTAATTTTTAACTCTCGTTTTGTCACACTGCTTGCTTGAGTAGCTGCCGCTTATTGTAGTATTATTATAATTTTGTTGTTGTCTTGTTTAAGTTCGGTGTGACGTTGCAAACGATAGCAAAAATGATATTAATTTGTAGTTCCATTACTTGAAAAGTATAAATCATCTTGTAGCGCAAATACTAAGACAAAATATACACCAATTTAAACATCGAGCAGTTATACAGTTATAKTTTCATTAAATAAATAAAAAAATAACGCTAGCGTTTGGAAAAACTTAAAGAATTCAAAAAAATATGTTATAYTCTTCTCCACATATGTATGTATGTATATGCATATGTATACTTCCATGCAAATCAATTAAATTCAATAACTTCTTGTTGTTGTAATTGTCATGTATGTATGTACTTTGTGTGTAGACTCTACGAAAGGGCTTTGAGGTGCAAACCCACCCACCGCTGCAACCAAAAATGCAGAACTCAACTACACAACCACACCAAAGCGTTACACGGTACATATATAACGGTAAATTACTAATATCGACATATTTGTGTCTGTGTGCTTTTATTACCCAAAAATCTCATTTCAATCTAACAGTTTTATTGGAAAACACAGGCAGATCTACATAGTTATGTATATACCTAAACTCAAATAAATTTAATTATAAAATCGAATCTAACGAAATAAAGCAAGAAGAAGTGCAAGACTAACTCACACTCATTATTCTGTGTATACTTTGTGCGGTGTTTGTTGAAAATTTATTTGTAAAAACAAAAAAAAAAATAGTGAAGATATTGCAATTCACCTGCCTCCAAACCTATACAAAAATACCGTAAAATTAATTACAACTTACAAAATGGAAACTATTAATATTACTATAATTATGCATTAGTATTTTAACCGTTGTTATCATTCTGCGTTTGCGCAAAAAACCTACGGGACATATACAAAAATGCAAAGCATATATTATGACATGAATAAAAAATAAAATAAAAACAAAAAATAAGCTTACTTTGTTTATTTATTTAATTGGTCGCTAAAGCCAAGCGTTGGGGTAAATGGCAGTGAAGTGAAAGCTTTCCAGAATAAAATAATGAAAAATGTTAAAATTGGTCGCGTCGAAGGTATAATAATCTCTACAGGTGCATAAAAGGGTATACAAGCAGGGCCAGTTTGTATGGCACCTACAAGTATATACAATAGTAGTCCGATCTAAATAATTTGTTTGGAGATTATAGCCTTGTCTTAAGGGGGAGCCTGCTTTAGAAGCTTAAAAAATCGATTTTTTTCTTTTTGTTTAAATCTCTTTAGAAATTATCTAAAAATATGTCCCCAAGGTTATAGATTGGAATTCGAAATTTTGTCGAAGCTAGAAGGGGAAATAGTGACCGAGCGTCTAGCAGATACATATATGAGCGCTTGGGTAGAAAGCGAAAACTTTGACGCGCGATTTCTCGGTTTTTCATATTTACGAGTTTTCTTAATTCGCGGGCAGTATAGAAAATAAAACTCGTATGGAATTGGGGCAGAATGTATTATCTTAGGGATTGAATTATCTTCTATTTAAACTAAAAAAAAACTATAAATGTGAATATATTTTAAGCAACATAAAGTAAAATTTTTTCGATCAACGAACACTTTTTTCAATAAAAAACAAATTGTAGAATTTTACACTTTCGTTTTTGGAATTTTCTTAGTTTAACCAGAAGATAAATTATTAAAAAATATGAATCTTTTTGAATGTTTTGTTTCCGATAGAAATTGCAACCTGCATCCTGCCCGCCATACGGCAAATGTACATCCATATATGCGAGATTCATCGGGCAATTGCTTCCCAAAGGCAGAACATCAGAGATTTCGTATCCAAAAAAATTTTCGGGTGATGTTTACATACATACATAACTATAAGCCCTAGAAATTTCGCTTTAATCAATTATTTCTTTTTCTCCCAAAAAAATTCTCAAAAAAAAAAAAACATTTTTTGAAGCCTCTAAGCAGGCTGCCCCCTTAAGCAATAACCTGTGCAAAATTTCGTGAAGATGACTTATCAAATCAAAAAAAAAAAATCTATAAAAAACTTAAATTAGATATTTCAGTGTATATGACCGCTACATATGTATGTATATTCTTTGTATTCTGATCTAGACATTTTTTTCGAATATTGTATCGTTGTTTTGAACAAGAATCCATGTCGAATTTCGTGAAGGAATTGCGTCAAATGGAAAGCTTTCCATATAATCGATTACCGCGATCGGTCAGTTTGTATGGTTGCTATATGTTCTAACCTTATTTTTTACATTTTTTTCTAATAATTCACTATAATCATTACATGGCCTTAGTTTTATCTGTACGGCCCCGCATAAACTAAGTATTGTATTATTATTTTCGTAACTTTTGATGATTGTTTGTTCTCTTAGTCCTAGTTCCAATATTTTCCATAAATATATAAACTTTGTACCAATATATTCAAGTATAGTTACTTTCGATATACTGTGGCTTGGTGCTAGCTATCATGGGTGTTTTACGTTCCGCTTTACTTTCTTTACTTGTTTTCCAGTTGTCATCTCTTATGCTTTGCCAAATTTCAATCTTTTTAGTTTTTAGACGTCCAAAGTAGTGGGTTGGTCTAATTCAGTTGTTTCGAAAAGTTATAAAGGTGTAAAAAATCTGAAAATACCTCAAACATGAGACCATGTGGAATAAATTGGTTTTAATAGCTGTACTAACTAAATTACTTGATCTCGATAATTAAACACAGTCTATTTAATTTATCGCTGTAACGCTTTAACAAATCTAAAATAAGTTTTATTGCAAACTGCGAAATAATAAAATTTGTTAATGATAAAAGAAATAACGATCTGTTTCCAAAGTAAGTAAATATCTGTTTAAACTCCGGTACGTGCTTCTGATTTAATTTATTTCATTCAATAGAAAATGTTCATTTTATGTGCCACTTGACTGCGAATGATCATTATGTCATAAGCCTATCATACAATACGAGTTTAGGTGGATAGGCTAATAAACATCAGCACGGAAACAACACAAAATATTAGGAGTTGTAAAAATGTATAGGCTTTGTCATGGAGATATTTCGACGGTTTTTGACCGTAAAGAGAGCGGATAGAAAGAGTGCATTTGAGAGAGCTACTTGCTCAGAGCTTTTTGATATCTTGATATGTCATGATCCAATCAGGTTAAGTGGAAGTCAGACTTAATATTTCTGGGCACCAGTTCTCTTTCAAGTATGTCTCTCTGTAATTTTTAGCCAAGCAGACAAAGGCTATTAGATGCCTGAAATCGAAGCTCATGATCTCGGCGATATTTGGTTTCAACAAGACGGCGGCAATTCCTACATATCGCATCAATAAATGCATTTTTTGAGGGAACACTTCGGCGAGTAGATAATTTCAAGTGTTGGACCATTCGATTGGTCGCCACGATCGTGTCATATCACACCCTTAGACTTTTTTCTGTGGGGATATGAAAAGTCTAAAGTCTATGCGGTCAAGCCCTCTTCGATTTGGATGGAGCACCCGAGTCGTAGTTGCGGCCAAAGTAAGTGGCAGGAGCGGTAAGTTTTAAGGAATTCAATTTCTCTGATGTATAGTTATGATATGGCTAAAGGTCTCATATACATACATGTATGTTTATATAAATTCTTTTTAGCGATAGTAGGTGGCATCCAATACTCATAGAACTTTTTCTTATCTTAATATTTATTTAAAATATAAAACTCAACTACATAAGTAATACGAGCTTAATATTTATTGATTAGTGACTTTCGACATAACGGATTTGAGCATGAACGACTGATGATGCAACTGATGCCACCCCTCTCCTGTCTATCAAAATGTCGATTAGAGTTTGATTGACTAATGAATGAAACCCATATTTCGTATTACAGCTATGCCTGAACAGTTGAGTAGACAAAAAGCTGCAAATTATGATTCTAATAATCCTTTGTACAAGGATAATTAAATAAATATTTTTACACTGGGTCATATGCAGAGAAATGAAAACACATCTGTCAGTAAACATATGCACACGGCCATTTATTTACATAATATTAATTTTTAAAGAGGAACTCATTAGAGCTTTGGCGACTGCTGGTCTCTGAGTCACTCAACAAAATCCCCGGTACGATTTTTATTTATACACATATATAAAATGCGATAAATGCGTTTTTCTTACAAAATGAGCAAATAAGAGTCGAGCTCGCCTCTGTGTAATTATGAATTATACCCTGAAGACATATTTACCATTAGTTTGAAGTTGCTGGTTTTTAGTTCAAGTCACTGAGATCATAGTTCTTACATATACTTATTGTCGAGGGACGCTTAGGAAGTTAAACATACTATATTGAACGCTTCCGAAACTCAACGATTCTTTGTTGATTTACTTATAACTTGGCATCAAGCCACATCAGGGATTCCAAGAATAATATTTATTTTCTCGGGCTTCTACGAACTACCTCAATTGTTGTAAATGAGAGCAAGTTCCTGACCGTTCACAGTCTGCTCTATGTAATGGCATCAGTCATAGGTCTAGATATTCATGGCCAAAGGCTGAACTGTGAACTCGACAACATTCTCCAAAACTTGAGAGAAATGCTGAGCTCTTATGTTACAATAATCATACTTCTTATCCAGATTTCACTTCACTCAGTCGGATCTCATGTTTTATACTAATTTTGAATTTTTTCGACTTGGTCGACCTAGTTATTTCTTTTGTGTTATTAGGTTAGGTTAAAAGGTCGATCCTAAGGAGTATATCCCTTGAACAGTTTAGAACGCCGGTCCGTAGTGGTACCTGTAAATTTCTATATACTGGATTTCTTATAAGATCCTTATGGATCGTCAGAGCGCTTAGAGCATGTTACAAATTGTTGTTGATACAGCTAATATCACTTTCAGCTATATTTTCCGGTTCGCAGAAGGTAAGATTACCGAGATGTCTCAGCCTCAGTCTCGCAAAGGTTGAACAATGTAGATGTGTTGAGCTACCGATGCTTCTGGTTTTATAAATTATAAAAGCTGTTAAAGACTTGTTACCTGATTTATGTGTCCGAGAATGAAATAGTTAGAAAATCCTTTAATTCATCTTAGCTTAGAAAGTATTTGAACTCACAATCCTTTTTAAAACAGTCAACTCTTAATGCAAGATTCTCTGGAATCGCTCTCAGTATAATTTTTTCATTGCTCGTTGATATTTCTTTCCATAGTATACGTAATCTTATATGTTGTCGTATATTAAAATCAACTTCGATAGCGTGAGCGGTATTTACTATTAGCCGGCCGGCGATTTGTGCAAATGTGTTTATATGTATATACGATATATACTTATGTACATATATAAGTTCGTGCTCGTAGAACCCAAACAATCTTAGACGCGTTGATGTGCCAGCCAACGCCAACGTCTTCGCTTCTGAAGTATGCGAATTTCATATCGAACTCGTTCGAATGCAGTTTCATTTAAGCGGTGGTCGCGAGCAGTCTTTGCATGGACTATCCGACAAAAACAGCGTAAACAAACGGTTTTTCACCACGCACTTACACAAATGCATATCAGTACAAATATAAATTACAGTTAGCCAACCGCTGCAACGCACATAATCAAAGGTACATTGTTTAGTTTTGAGCGCTCTAGTGAATTTCGTGGGCGAAATGGATACGGAACCAAATGATTTGAGTACCCTGCTAGCGAAGAACCAGCGTTCGCGAAAATACACGAGAGATAGTAGTATCGGTAGTGCCGAACTTCCGTGTGATTTGATATCCGATGCGTCCGTATCATCGTTATCTGAACATGCCAATCTGCATGGATCTGTTGAAACTGTGACATCGATCACATCCAGCGAACTGGATGAGTTCAATTGGAGACGCTTACGTTTCTACTTGGTCGAACCGATGGTGTTCATACTCTTGTTTGCCTACAATTTATCAGGTATTGTCAAAATTCCCGTCACTCGCAAGTGCTCAATAGTTATAAATGTAAACAAAAAACGTTTTGATTTCTTAGAAACCATCGTGAAGAATCAGATAATTTATCAAACATGCACGTCTATATTCTTTTTCAATGAGAGCGATTGTGGACAATTGGGTACTAAAAACGCTAGTGAGCATGTCAAGGTAAGAGAGTACACACAGAACCTTTGTTGTTGCTGGTTTGGTTGTTGCAATCGAAGCAAAGTGGGAAATTCGCTTGCGGAAGTGAAGAATTATGAAGAATGTATGTGTAAACTATATATCGTGACAAAAAAGAACCCGGAAATTGTAATTAAATTCCGCGGGTAAATGATATTTCAAAAAAATCTATTTTGCGATTATAATTTGGCAGGAGTGTCCTTAACTACTATGCCAAATAAGAGCGCGATCTGTTAACCATTTTGTTTACAGCAGCTGCTTAAGTTGGTACAGCTCGATAGTGCGTTGCGATTTTTACAAAGGATTAAATAATCAAACAACGAATTTGATTTGTCTCAGAATTTGTATCTCTAACCAAAGTTAGTGTGAGGCATCGTTGCGAATGTTGAAAAGGGCTTACGGAGATACAATTTTATCAAGAACAGAAGCCTACGAGTGGTACAAAGCTTCAATGATGGTCTAGAGATCTTTGAAGAAATGCCTCGTTCTAGACGATCTCGACCTTCGAGACCTTCGAAAATATTTAAAAAAAATTAATGATATGGTACTTGAAAATCGTCAGGCTGTACTAGAGAAATGGCAAGAGAGCTCGACGTCTCTCGCCAGGCCGTTGGAATGATTTTGGTGGATATTTTAGGTATGAAATGTGTTCTTGCTCGTTCTTTGGTGCATCATAAATTTGCTCCGGAGCGACAAATGGTCAATAAGAAGTTCTATTTGGTCATATTGAGGGGTTTGCGTGAAAGCATCCGTCGAAAACGGCCGGAATTTTAAAGAACAATTCATGGAACTGGAAAAATCGTTGGCATAAGGGTATTACATCTGTTGGGGATTACTTTGAAGGTGTCAAAATAAATATTGTTGAATAATTAAATATTTTGCATTTTATTTACAATTTCCGGGTACATTTTTGTCATAATGTATTTATAAATATTATGGGGATTTTTCTAGAAGTGTCGTTTTTTTTTTGTAGTACTTCAGAGATCTACTTATGTATATAATATCTGGATTGTCTTAGGTTAGTGCAAACCCGTGTGGAGCAATTTCTCATATAAATCCGCTTAAATCTAGGTGATTCTCTGATCATTGATATTTTTAAAGATAGCGAAGTTTGTCGCTAACTGCTATAGAGGTTAACTAACGTGACTTTGGTGACAAATACCTTCACTACTGCGAGTGATAAACTCAAAAGAGGTAGAAAAATCAGAAAACATGAGTAAACATGAGTAAACAGAGTGACAAATATTGAAAATATGCGTTACATTTCAATGAAAGGCTTTTTATGAGATTTCACTTTATAATATTCCAGTCGGGAAAATTTTTGTAAGAACTGGCAGTGACGATTCCAATAACATTGTCACCTTTCTTCCAACATGTTAACACTTTTCTTTCCCAGTTGAGCTGCTCTCTTTGTTCCTCACTATAATTTCCAAAATGATCTTTAAATTTATCCAGTTGATTACGGAGATAGCCTAACCTGATACTCAAGATTGGTTTTAGAGTCTGACAGTTTCTCAACATATTCTTTCTACTATTTATTCTAACTTGCTAATTAGTGGTCGCCTAAGCAATTTTTGACTATCAACACAAACCTTTCCAATATTCAATTTCCGAGAGAGTTATAGTCTCTAATGATCTGAATCTTTTATTATTTGTTGTATTTCAGTCCTATCAAGTATACCATCTTTTAGCATTTCCATACAAAGTTCGCACATTTTATACGAATATTACAAAAACAATATTCTTCCATGTCTAAAGCTTTGACTATTGTTGTATCATTCTTAACTTGATCACTGATCTGGACACTTGAAAGCATCAAAATTTACTAAGACTTCAAATAAGAAGTTTTGTAATTACAACCTTTTTTCCAAAATAATTTGGAATTGTGAAGTTGTTAGTGGTGTAAATTACCGCAAATCAGGATCTGAGTACGATCCCAGCTTCCAACATACAGATAAATGCCTCTCGACAAGCAACGACAGATAGCTGCGAGTATATTTCAAAATCCATCAGTTGTTAGACTTCGGTCTAAGACTTTTGGTTCCTTCTATTTGTCGGATAACATCAAAAACTAGATCTCAAAAGGCAGGAGCAAATCTGTCAAACATCTACTAGAGATATGTGTGCTATTTGTTTACATGCATGCAAACAATACCTTGGTTGTTGTCTAACTCGACTTGAGAGGTTCTAAATACACATCTAATCGCTACGGAACATATGTACATATGTATGTATGTTCGCAGTCATATAATAATATAATATTAATAAACATACATACATACATACATATATACATAAATACGTCGGGTATAAACTTATTAAAATTTGCTGGATTATTACATGGGCTGGTATATACATACATGTGTATGTACATATGTATGTATGTTCGCAGTCATATAATAATATAATATTAATAAACATACATACATACATACATATATACATAAATACGTCGGGTATAAACTTATTAAAATTTGCTGGATTATTACATGGGCTGGTATATACATACATGTGTATGTACATATGTATGTATGTATATAAAACAAACATATGAATATTAATCTGCTTAATATAAAGCTAAGAGAGATTACGTTTACATAAACTAGTTTTTTTTGATATTACATTTTTTATTACATAATATCAATCAATATATAATACATTCATATTGTACATATATGTATATTAAATGAGTGATGCATTAAAATAACTTGGGGGAATATACATATAGTAAATAAATCAAATTGCAAATAAATTGTTATGCGTTACAAAAAATGTTTGGGCATATCTATACATATATAGTATGTATGTATATATTTTCTTCTTGTTCTTCTTCTTTATTAACACCGCTAACGCGGTTATAGCCGAGTAGACTACAGCGCCCACTCGTTCTTCCTTTTCGCTATTTGGCGCCAGTTGAAGATTCCAAGTGTTGCCAAGTCCTTGCAATGGAGCGAAAGTCTTCTTCTTCCTCTACTTCCAGTGGCGGAAGCTCTCAGAGCTGCAATATTTTCATCTAGGACCATAAATTTTGCACAGAACCTTTCTCTTGAAAACTCGTAGATGTTGCCGTCGTCCATGCTTTTGCACCATATAGCAAGACGGGGATGATGAGTGACTTGTAGAGTTTGTTTGTCGAGAGAGGACTTTACTTCTCAATTGCCTACTCAGCCCGAAGTAGCACCTGTTGGCAAGAGTTATTCTGCGTTGGATTTCGAGACAGATGTTGCTGTTGGTGTTAATGTTGTTTCCAAGGTCGCCATATTTGAATAGCTTGGTCGGCAATTTATTGGCGCCCGCCGCTTTGTTGTTCTTAAGACGGGTATTTGCTTCATTGTTGGCCAATGAAACGTCTGTTCCATCGCCATCGAGTGGGGAATCGGTTTCGGTTTCTCCTGGTGTTACGCTTTCACTGCCATTCAGCAGACTGTATCATCGCTGTGGGTTGTACAAGAGTATGGTCTTGAAACCTTCTGTTAGTCGCTGAGCTTTGCTGAGAGTGAGAATCTTCCTTGCGTTTTTTGACTTTCGGTTTTAACACGTGTATTTTTAACAAAATAATGCAGTTTTTGTAACAAAACAAAAACAAAACTTCTATCATGCCGAGTTGCCCATACTTGTATCTTGTTTTTCGCAACCTTTTCAAAGGTGTTTTTCGAATCTAAGCCTAATTAAATTAAAAATTGTGAAATTAAAGATTTGAAACAAGTTGCAACCTCCCTAAAAATATTTAAAAATATAATTTTATTTTATAAGTCGATATACTTAACATTTKCGTAAGGTGGCAATTACGACTTCAACGACTAATTTTACGAAAATATTTGAATCGATTTATAGTTCTTTTTATTTTTCTTTTTTTATTTCTGCTTTGTCCATAAAACTTTTATGGTTGGCTGATTTGTTACTGATTGGTAATTGCTAACGTTTTGATTTTCTAATAGCCAGACAAGAAGTTGATAAGTTATCAAATAAAAAATACTTCGCACCTGAAATCTGATTAATGACAATTTGGCTAATAAAATAAATAACCATTTCGAATATGTAGTTGTTGAACACGAAATATGCAGATTTTCGGCGTTAAAATACGTCACTACTAAGCGATAATTAAATGCGTTTCGAGCAAGGGCGATATTTTTTAAAAGCAAAGAAGGTCATGGTGGTTTGAAACCCTTTGGAAAAGGTAGATAAAATAACAAAAGTTAAGAGATAACAAATTTATGGGTGATCTGGTGTCGGGAAGTGGAATGGGAGTGGGATACATCTGCTACAATGAAATAACACTTTTATGAAATATTAGGTTTTGAAAAATTTATTCGGACATTTTTTTGCATTTTCTGAGAAAACCCACAATAGTAATGTAATTAAGGTCTAATTCTATGTAATTGTAATTAAGTTTTTTTAAGAGTTCTAATTTGCATCCTAATTTCTCCACTAGTCTGTAAGAATTAATGTTCATAGACTTACTAAAAAACAAAAAAAAAAAAAAAAATAATGTTTATATTTTTTATGAGATCAGAAAGTAGAGGTTTCATCGAATAAAAAGCCCACCAAATTAAAATTTTTATTTTGACTTGAGAATGTTATACCATGTTTGGGTCGTAAAACGGTTACTTTATGCCAAAAATTAAGTGAAAAAACAAAATTTTTTAAAACAAAACAGTTTTTTTGTTTTTTGTAATTTTCATATTATATTTTGTGGTTATGTTAATGCGAAAGTTGTAGATCCTTCTATTACCTATAACTTGACCATTTAACTTTTTCCCACAGGACTAATACTTTTGCCGAATAGCGAAATAAACTAAAACCGGTTTCGAGCCAACGAAGTTGAAAAAATCTGAATAATCGGCTGTGTGGGTGATATTTGTTATAGTTGTCCGATCTGGCCGATTGCGACAAATGATCAATAGAATTTCAAATACACCTACGTATTCAATTTAATTCGGATATCTCCAGAACTGACCACCCAAATTTCACCTAAAATTTCACCTTAAGAATCATAACAATTTTAGACCCATGGCTTCCAAGCAAAGTTGTTCGGAAAGATTCGTAGAACATTATCCGTATACGCAATTTTTAATTTTTTTTTGGCTTCGCGTTAATCGACCCGCTCTAATGAACATATGGTATGTAATTTGCATATGAAATAAGTAAAAGAAATTCGATCTTTCCTTAAAAAGTAAGCATAAATATTATGTATGTAAGTGTATTTATTAGTAATGTGCATATAAATATTTCTACGATCGTGCCAATTCTGAAAATATGCAATAGGAGCGCACATTACTGCAATTCACACACACACACATATATTTTGTTCAATAAATAAAGTAAAATGTTATGTTTTGATTGTGGAATTTACTTTGCGGCTCACATGTGATAACATTCATATTTGCATGCTCTCTGTTTTAAGAGTTATTCTCTTCATACTCTCTTCTCTTTTCTTAGCGAATAAAGAGCAAAATGAGATAATTTTAAGAGTATATCAATTATATATATAATTAATTAGTGGAAAAAAGTTGAATAAACAGTTTAAAATTAATTATAATCGTAACTCAATTACGACAGATTTTCATCTTCTTCTTCTTCTTTTTTACGGACGTAGACACCGCTTACGCGATTATAGCCGGGTTAACAACAGCGCGTCAATCGTTTCTTGTTTTGAAAATCTGGCGCCAATTGGAGATTCCAAGCGAAGCCGGGTCCTTTTCCACTTGCTCATTTCCACGGAGAGGAGGTCTTCCTCTTCCTCTGCTTCCCCCGGCGAGTGTTTCGGACAACATGACCTAGCGAGCGTATCTGCTGTCTTTTAATTCGCTGAACTATGTCAATGTCGTCTTATATCTCGAATAGCTCATCGTTCCATCGAATGCGATATTCGCCGTGGCCAATGCGCAAAGCACCAAAAGTCTTTTGCAGAACCTTTCTTTCGAAAACTTCTAACGCCAACTCATCAGATACAGTCATCGTCCATGCCTCTGCATCATATAGCAGGATGGGAATGATGAGTAACTTATAGAGTTTGATTTTTGTTCGTCGAGAGAGGACCTTACTTCTCAATTGCCTCTCTAGTCCGAAGTAGCACCTATTGGCAAGGGTTATTCTACGATGGATTTCGAGTCTGATTGTTGTTGCTGTTAATACTGGTTCCAAGATATGATGATGATATGACTGTTAACAGTAAATTGGGAGCCTAGTCGCGAATGCGATGACTGTTTCTTTGATGAGTTTGATGGTTTAATCACCTGTAGCTATTAAAAAAATTCAGACGCAGAATTTAATAGTATACCTTAAAACTGTAAAGTATATTGAGTCAACTTAAATCATTTCACCATTTCTGTAGAATAATATAAACAGCCAAGCCCATTTATTATCTTAAGGTATAATTAAGTCTTATTATTTCATACAGTTGTACCGAAGGTGATACGCCAACAATAGGAATCTTCACACTTTTCGCTACCATTTAGTTAGTACGACATGACTCGGTTGTCTCCGTGTTAGCGATACATTCGAATTACCAATGGAGCGAATTCCGAGAACAGAAGATGGTCGATTGCTCATCGTGTTGCACTTCACTTAAATATCTTCCCAAGTTTCATCCTTTATCAGAAAAATTACATAGCAGTAGGTTAAGGAAACGGATTCTTTCGTCAGAGTCGGACCAAAGTGAAAGGCGTGGAATACCGACTTCAACGACGTCACGAAATTTTTTTAGACGTTCCCAGGAGGCGGTTCCGCTTTTTGGGGATGCCTGCGTGACCGATTTCTGCGAAAATATCTTAAAACAGTGTTTATCGGAAAGTAATAGGACTGAGTCAATTAAAAAAAATGATTGTACCAATAGTCACAATTCTTTAAAAACTTTCAAAATATACCGTCGATGCAGCGCTGCCAGTGCGGTTTCCACGCAATGAAAGCGTCACGAAAGGCATTCTCCGGAATAGCCTTGAGAGCCGAGGTCTATGCTGCTTGATCCCCTCTGTCATATCAAAATGCTTGTCTTTAATCCGTCTTTTAGGCAAGGAAAAAAAAAATCTTTTCACCTGTGATTACGTTATTAAAAAATTGGGAGTCATTTTCACACATGTTCAAATTTTCTTGACATCCACTCGCCACAATTATGGTCGTAAGTGATCACTTTTGGGACCATCCGCACACCTTGCGCATTTTCAAGTGCTCCGTAAGAATGTCATGAACCACAGATTTTGATAAATTTACATAACATCTGGCGAATTAAACAAATACTTAGTCGCCGGCCTGAGTTCATAAATTTGCGTACACGAGTCACATTGTCGGTATTTGTCGAAGTCCTCTTCCCGGCCCTCTAAAAAGGCCTGGTGCCACCGAAACACATCACTTCTTGCTAAAGCAACATCTGGGTAAGCCTGTTTGATTATATAAAACGTCTCTTTCGCAAATTTACCGTGTTCAACACAGAATTAAATTGCGTATCTCTGCTGTAAGGAACGTTATATTTGCGCGAAAATGTCTGCCCTGACTCTCCAGGTGCTCGAAAACACCTCGTTAGCTGGGAACGCCCTCTACCGAATGCCGTCGGTGCGCACACGCTGCGGAGTACAGTCGCGGCGGAAGAAAGTCAGTGCTATTACTTTCCGGACAAACTCTGTGAAACTGATTGTAGATAAGTGCTTATGTTCCCTTACCGAAAGCATGCGGATCTCACTATGTGACCCTGAACACAAAGTGTTCGATGAATGATATCAAGAGACATCCTCTGATAGTTCGGAGTATGATATTCTGATGTGTGTGTATCTTTTTCAGCTACGTTCTGCGTAGTTAATGACCTTTGCTTTGTCGCAACGAGGGGGTTTTATTTATTTCGTTGCATCCTTCAATGATATTTTCTATGAACTTTTCGCTATAACACATAGAAATAACAAGGAATGCGTCATTGGTCACTTGATTCTTACTCGAATGGCCTCTTTTTATTAACCTTGTAAAGTTAAATGAAGAATCAGTCTCCTGCAAGAATATTCTGTGATTCGGACGTTCTGCGAGTACATAACGAAATAACGTTTAATTTGTATATATAGGAAGATTATAAATTATATTTCCTCCGAGAACACAACAAACAGTTTACACCTTGAAGTCATATTTTATGAAAATAAGGCTCTAAATTCTACTCTCTTTATATAGCAAATAGAGACTACGATTCAGCCGTATGCAGCGCGTATATTTATGACATCCTCACTCATTGAGAGCTTTGTGCCAGCATTTTGTGGTGTATTTATCGGCGCTTGGTCGGATCGTTTCGGACGCAAGCCATTGCTGATCACAGCCTACAGTGGTGAGTACAAGCTACTTAAACATATATAAATTCGTATGTATATGTATTATATTTGATATGAAGGGTTTTTGAAATGCTTATAGGATACGCTCTCTATTATGCGATTGCAGCGATAATTGCGCAGTTATCCACAAACAGTCTAGTCAGCCCGTGGTATTACTTATTGGCGGTATTGCCACTTTCGCTGATCGGTGGCAGTGTCACATACTCGGTGGCCACTTTTTGCTACATCTCAGATGTGTCCAGTGCACAAGAGCGTCCATATCGGTGAGTAGCACTGCTAAATTGTGCTTGTTTGCATATAGTTGAACAGTTTTGTCGAAATTTTAGCATGGCCACATATGAGGTAGCATTGATTGGTGGACTTATGGCTGGTTCCTTTATATCGGGTTATCTTTATGAGGCTACCAATGCGACGTACGTTTTTCTAACATCATGTTGTAGCATTTTTGTTGCCAACTGCATTATACTCTTCTTCATACCGGAAAGCTTAAATAGGCGTCGTTTTCAATTTGTCTATAATACTGTTAGCGAAGAGGAGGAACGGGTTCGTCAATTAAATGCTTCCGCGGATGAAATCGGCGAAGTTCGAAAACTATTCGATTTAGCAGCGGTTAAGGAAATGTGGCAGACCTGTTTTAGACCGCGTGAATTTAACGATCGCGCGATCATTTGGCTGGCAATGATGGCATGTTCAATATCGGTGTTTGTTTTAGGTAAAGTGTGGCCATTTTTTAAATTTTTGTTATTAATTTTTGATTTTTTTTTTAAATTTAGATGGCAACATGACTGTGTTTTACTTGTTTATACGAGAGATATTCAACTGGTCCGTCAAGGAGTTTACCACGTTCGAGACAATCAGCATGTTCGTGACCACCATTGGCAACATAATGGGTATTATCGTATTGAAAAGGGTGTGTATAGCATTAAAGTATTTAATTTTGACTATTTTTTATAAGCATATGTATATTTATTGCAGTTGCTGAAACTTTCTATTGTTCACATTGGCGCACTGGCATTTCTCAGTGCGGCCGCTGGCAGTTGCGTTAAGGCTTTTGCTGTCACTAAGTGGTTCATGTATTTGGCGGTCGGTGTCAGCGCTCTGAGAGCGATGGCGCATCCAATGTGTCGTACTATTGCCTCTAACGTATTGCCGCCAAATGAATTAGGTAAGAAGCTGGTTAACTTTTCGCATATGTATCCTTTATTCAGGTTGTAATATTTGAGGAGATTTCATTAGGGACATTAAATTTCGATTAATTTGTTAAAGAGGTCACCTGTTAAATCACATTATAGGCATAAAAAGTTCTTAAAATGCTATCATTGAAAGCACCTTAAGTTATGGGACTTCCCCTAAACAATAAACAGTGCTATAAATTCTGTATGCATATCATAATTAAGTATTCTGTCGTAGATTTGTATGCTTACTATAACGTTGCCATATTAAAAAAGTTACTCATACGCCATTCAGAACAGTTGCATTTCCCAACCAATGCCTTATCTTTCATTTACGTTTTAAATGTTCTTGATCTTAACCGAGTTTAATTTTTCAGTTTTTGCAATAAAATTTCATTTATTTTATAAATTTACTGTGTCGAATACTCTCAGCTCTGGAGTGTTCTCATCCATTCGCTGTCCCTTAATTTGCTGAACTATGTCAATGTCGTTGTACTAGGTGCGTTCCAAAGTAAACAGGACTTTTTCAATCTAGCGCTCCCTGGCAGCGCCATCCATTCGTCGACTATTGCGTTAGACTCTGCTATCTTTATCGATTGACCAGTGAAAATTTCATGACATTTCATTGATTGATGTTATCGGTGCGGAAATGAGCTTCGAACAAAGAGTCAGCATTAAATTTTGTTTTAAAATTGGTAAAACTTTTACCGAAACGTTTCAATTGATGAAACAAGTTTATGGCGATGATTACCTATCAAGTAGCAGAGTGCACGAATGATTTCAACGTGGTTGTAAGAACATAAATGACGATCAACCTGTAGGCCAATCAAAATCCGTGATCACCGGAAATTCCATCGAAACTGTGAGTGAATTCATCAAAAATCAGCCGAAACCATCTTTGAAATTCATGGAAATGGAACTAAACATCGATTAATCGCATTTTGACCGAACATTTGGGCTAACGAAAGGTGTGTGTACGGTTTTATCTGCACAAATTGACTGACGACCAAAAATTTCTCAGAATCCAACGATTATTTGACCAAAAATCACATTTTAAAAAGTGACCACTCTCCGTATTCATCTTATATGATACCGTGCGACTTCTTCCTTTTCGGAAAAATGCATTTGCCCATGAAAGGAAAGCGTTATGTAGACGTAGAGGCCATTCAAAAGGCTTGTACCGTCATACTGGCGCCCATACCGGCCAACGAGCTGAAACACTCGTTCGACATGCTTTTGGACCGTGCTAAAAACTTTATTGAAGGATACTATTTTGAATAAAATAAATTGATTTTGCCGAAAAAACCATTTGTTCTGTTTGTTTTTTTAGAAGTCCTTTTTACTTTGCAAGCTCATCGCTCCATCGACTGGGGTATTCGCAATGCGCAAACGACCATAAATCTTTCGCAGAACGTTTCTCTTAAAAACTCGTAACGTCGACTTATCAGGTGTTCTCATCGTCCATGCCTCTGCACCATCTAGCAGGACGAGGATGATGAGTGATTTGTAGTATTTGTTCCTGAAGAGAGAAATTTAATTCTCAATGGCCTACTCAGTCAAAGTAGCACCTCTTAGCAGGAGTGATTTTGCGTTAAATTTCAAGACCGATATTGTTGTTGGTCTTGATACTAGTTCCAAGTTCTACGAAATTATTTACGACTACAAAGTTATGACTGTCAACAGTGACGTGTGAGTCAAGTCGCGAGTGCCACGTCTGTTTGTTTGATGACAGGAGATATTTCGACTTGTCCTCAATCACCAGCAGACCCATCCGCTTCGTTTGGTTATCCAGTTTGGAGAAAGCAGAACTAACGGCACGATTGTTGAGGCCAATGATATCAATATCATCGGCGTACGCCCTTAAAAAAGATTGTGGCTTCTCGATTCAGCTCTGCAGCTCGAATTTTTTCCCCAGCAGTAGATTGAAGAAGTCGCACGATAGAGAGTTACCTTCTTTAAAACCTCATTTGGTATCTACGGCTCGGAGAGGTCCTTCCCGATCCTGATGGAGCTTTTGGTATGGCTCAATGTCAGTTTATACAGTCGTATTAGCTTTGTGGTGGTACCAAGTTCAGACAAAACGGCAGTTCCATTTCGTGCTGTCGAAGGTGGCTTTAAAATCGAGGAAATAGGTGATGTGTGACTTCCTTTTAGACTTATGCCATCGTAATTGTGGCGGATTGTGGGGCCCCTTTTTTTGGGATTGGAGAGAGGTCATCGATTGAGGAATCGGGTTCGCAATATCCAGGTGTTACACTATCACTGTCGTTCAGCAGGTTGGAGATAGTTTACCGCTTCAAATCGTCTAAAATATGATCACCATTAATGCTTCTTCCAAAAATGAAACTTTTGCAAAAATTTCGATATACTTTGAGCCAGAGATGCCCCAATTTCTTGAAACTGTCTGAAAAATTACGTTTTATGAAGGTCTGAATATTAGTCTTCCTTGACAAACACGATATCCTCTTTTCACTCAAGTTTCAGCTCGGCAATTAACTCTTTCATGTTTGGAAATCACATGGAGTCATATCTGAAGAAGTCTGTAGATGGAACAGTAGTTCGTACCTTAATCCTATTAATCGGATTATATTAATCTTAGTAACAACTTAAATATAAGCCGTGCGTTGTCATGGTTGTAGTGTAGGTATCTTTTTTTCATCAAATTTATCCGTTATTTTGTAATTCAGCGCCGATTGGACTCAATAGTGTGACTTAGTAAAAGCCTATGACCGTTTTGCCTTTCTCCTGGTAGTCGTTCTTAATCAACCTTGGTAGTTATTGTCGAAATTTGCTGCTCTCTTGTGCATCAGTGGGTTCATGTTCCGCCGACAGTACTGTGGTGAAGTAGACTCAGTAAACTTAGTTCACAAATATTGTTTTTAAAACGATTATTTTAGGCGAAAATCGGTAGAATACTATTTTTAAGAGGCGCAACATTTGTCCGAAGCATACTAGTGTATCCGATATATAGTTTCAACCTCTATAGAACAATATTATAGTACTTCGGTTCGAGTTCTTGATATATTCGAAAGGGATAGATGTTACCAAACTCGTTTCTATTAAGCATTGTAAATCTTAATCTAATTCAATTGGCTGAAGCATGTCCTGGAAAAATAGAATCTGAATTTTCTGATGTTACCGCAGTTACTTTGAGTGAGTTTTAGCAAAATCATATGGCAAAGTTAAGAGCAGTAGAATAGGTTAATTATAATAGCAACTTTAAACGAGAAGCTGCAAATGCCATTCGTAGGCCTACTGTTAGTTGTAAGTAGTTATTAGGTCTCCAAATATTTCTTTCATTTTATTTCTTCGAATTTAATCTGGAGTAGTACAAATCTAATAACATTAATTTCACACCTTCGTTTTTATTCTCTCGTTCAGGAAAGTTCTTCTCTTTCTACAGTGTTCTACAGGCTTTTCTACCATTCATTGCCTCACCGATTTATGCAGGCATTTATAGCATCACACTCACGAGTTTTCCGGGTTTTTACAATTTGTTAAATGCCAATCTGTTCATAATTGCCATTTGCTTTCTGCTGTAAGTAAAAGACATTTACATACAAAGACATTTACCATAGATATACTATGTATCATATACGTTATGAGAGTAAAATTATTCAAGTGCATTGTTTCTTTAAATGATCGTGTATTTAAATGTACTTTTTTCAGCGTGATCTTGCGCAAGAAGCGTGCCTATCCGACACGTTACCAAGAACGTCTCTAAAATAACGGTGTGATCATTGTCATATCGCAGCGGAAACTACTTTTTTTACTTGAATAATTAAATATTAAGTAATTATATATGGCATTATTGCATGTTTAATTAAATCACTTTTCTACTAAGTGTTTTCTAGTTAAGTTATATAAATGTACATACATATATAMATACATGTTATACATACATACTACAAATACACATAGGAATATATTTTTTACTGAAATCGGAAATATATGTATGCGTTTGTTCTACAGCAACAACTATAAGACATAAGATATAGAATTCAAATGTAGACTTAAGAATGTTCATTTCCGATTCAGAGATAATGAGAACTTTGGAGAAGTTTAAATGTTAATCAATTGACTAATAGTGATATCGAGACTACGGCAGACATTTCTCGGCCTAGGAAAATTATAGCATAGTCGGTGTATAATATTGGRTACCTTCAGAATGGGGGAATTGGGGTAGATCAATGAAGAATCTTTAGGTCTACTAATGAATACTCACTTTTCAAGAAAAACCCCACGATTGGGTATACACCAGACAGTGGAGTAATGATCTCCAGAAATTTTGCCACCATTATTAAGTGGTACCAGGCTTACAATAAGGTGTAGAGCAAGCTACTGAGGATTAATTTTAGGCAGAAAGCTTTCATGAAAACCAAATCTAAGGTAAAGGAAGCAGCTACAGTACGTTACAGACGTACTAAATTCTACTCTGGATCCGCTCCTGGCTGCGATACAAACTGAATGATCGGAATCAAGTTCTTGTATGGAAAACTTTGGCATTTGACGTGATAACTTCATGAAATTTGACATGGATTACTGCTTAAGGTAATAATATTAACTCCGAAAAAATTGTTCAAATCGGATTACTATAGCACATAGTTACTAAAAGAAATGCACCAGTGAAGGGTAGTTAAGTTAAGGTTTTTTCTTGTTTTTAATTGTTTTTCTCTATTCTGCTTAACACATACTTCGTTTTACAAAACACTACATCAACGCCGGAAATTTAGAGCGTGAGAACAGTTCTGGGCGGCGAAAAAATTCACACCACGTCAGAAACGAGCTGTAATAGCTGCAGTGGATTCACTTGAAGATGCCATACGTAAGGAATGGGCAAACATCTAACGCAATTGAAAGTATGCGTCGACGTTTAGAAGCAGTTAGTCAGGTCAAAGGAGGTTTAGCAATATATTAGAATTAAAACCTAAACTTTTTTATGCAGAATCTTTTTTTTTTTGTTTTTACAATTTCATTATCTTTAAAAATACGTAAAATATTAAATATTTCTTAGTTAAATAAATATAATAATAATGTTGAAATTGAAACACATGCTTATTATTACATTTGTAGATTCAAAGTTAAGTCTGTAATTTTTGAATTAACAGTTAAGTTTACGGTGTGCCTACATTTTTTTTGATTCACTGTATATACCGGCCATTTCATAATGCGACAGGAGAGGATCGCTACGATCGACTAAAGATGAAGTTCAGATAGTGCGGCGAGCCGATATCCAAGCAGTTACAAAACGGCATGGAGAATACTCGGTATACCATTAATAGAAAGACCGACAACAGTGATTCATCTTGATGTGCACCTCCCCAAACACCTATTCATCACATTTTTCCGCCTATGCCAGGAAGATAAGTGGGCTTGGACGTGTCCTATATGGAAGTGCCAAGGTATTACACGTGGAATGTGTCACGAAAATATGTAAAGGAAACGTCGCGTGCGGGGCGCATCCGTCGACAGTTGGCCTGGTGTGAAAGCCTGCCCTGGATAGAATTTTCACTTTACACATAATTTTGAGTGAGTGCTTCAATATTTAATTTTTATATACTTTAATTTTAAAATGACACTTAACATATTTGAATTATTTACAATTGGTCTGACCATTAAACTTTATTGTTTCCACAAAAAAAAAAACAATTTCGCTAAATTTGTGATATGAACATATTTCGCAAAATTCAAACCTGACAGATAAATATTGTTATATAAAAACCGGTACCTACCAACTGTAATTATCCGAGTGCGAAGTTATATGAATATAGACTGTTTCGGAATTAAGCAAAATACTACTAAAAATAATTATTTAATTATTTAATATAATGTAAATCATAGCAATCATTTTGAAGAGCTTCTACATTAATTGTAACGGGTGATCCAGGTAGAGGTACTTTTTTCAATAGAATATTTTGACAGACCACGCGTGAGTCGTGTCAAGCTGTCATGTTATTTTTCGTTCTGTAAAGAATGTGTTACGCGCGCTTTGCGCAACTTATGATGAACATAATCGCACCCATTTTGAGACCCAGCATTCATTATTGACCACGTCCAGCAAGCAGACCAGAAAATATAAATATAGCCATAGCTGAGAGTGTACATGAAGACCGTGGAGAGTCGATTCGGCGCCGTTCGCAGCAAATCGGACTGACGTATGGAACGACTTGGCACATTTACGTGGAAATCTTAAATTGAAAGCATATAAAATACAGCTTGTCCAAGAATTTGACATCACTTCGCTTTATCGGGTCTTGAAAATTTCCAAAAGGATCCGACGTCTTCGAGCCAAATTTTGTTCAGTAAGGAGGCCCATTCTTATGCATTGGGTAACATGCTCGAACGCGTCATTGAAAATTGGGCTCAACGGATAGACCATCTGAGATGTAGCCGTTGCCAACATTTGAAAGCGATAATCTTCAAAAAATAATTGCCAAAAATTGTTCTTTCGAGTGACAATAAACATTCCTCATTAGGTTAGAAGTTTTTGGGTTTTTTCTTTATAAAAGTAGGGAACTTCGAAATGGATCGCCCTTTATTAATCCGCCTTATCTTCTCGACCACTCGTTTATCGAAGTTAACCTTGAATGTTCTGCATAAACTTCGGTGCCTGATCGTGATAGTCACAGAGTCAAATTTTGTTTGTTATTTATTTTAAATTTTCCTTCTTGTTTTTTGGCTTTAGCTTTAACTGATGTTGCTTAAAATTTTGCATTTATTTACATATTAAATAAACGTAGACAGTTTATGATTCAAATCTTTGAATCGTGAATCTTTGCGGTTTGCCTTCGACGACACATGCTGTACACAAAAAAAAAAACCTTATTATTCAATTAATATCTGATAATGTTCCAAAGGCATGAATAAATTTTATTAAGGGAGCTGTAATTGCTTGAGAAATAAGAAGTTCTGCGTTTAAAAGTTATGAGCGAAGATTAAGATCATGAATAGCATCTATTGAAGCTTATTTACTGTGAGTTCACTATGTAGGTGTTGTTCTTATTATTATATACTTGAAGATATATTTATTTTCAGTCATGATTACGATACAAATTGGATTTATTTTATATGCTGAAGTACCACAGTGTAGAATAAACTCTCTCACTCACTCTAAAATTGTATTCTGCCTTTCATATTTCGGGATTAGAGAACAAATTAGTCCTAGGCAATTTCCTATCCGAGTCGGTGAATCGATTTTGCACCTAAATCACCATAGTGAGTCCATCCATCATAGCGCGTAATAATTGGCTCTTTGCCAATCCACTCTATTGAAGACCTTGTATTTGCAATCCTACATAACTCCAATCGTGCAAGAATTGAATCCGAACGTCTATCAAGTGCGTCGCACGTCCGGTGATTATAACAAAAAATTTGGTTCAGCGTTAAAGCTTTTGGTTGAATGGGTACGTTGATAAACTGGTATGTTAATAGGAAAATCGTAATTTTCCAAAATGTTCCTTTTGCCATAGTTATTAGTGAGCTGGAAAAAATTGTGAAAATTGAACTGAGTCAGTCTTTTGCCTTTAAGCCGCCATTACTGAATTTGGTATCTTCGTAAAACTAATATACATAGCTGTGTAAACTGACGTTGAGCAATAGCAAAAGCTCCGTCAGGATCGGGTGGGATCTCTTCGGGCCGTTCGATAACAAACGAGGTTTGAGACAAGACGACTCCATATCGTCAACTTCTTCAATATCATTGGTCATAACAACTGTGCCGTTAGTTCTACTTTCGCCAGGTTGAACAAAGAAGCGAAACAAATGAGCCTGGTAATGATGGAAGGCAAGACGAAATATCTCCTATCATTAAACTATTCTTGGTACCAGCATTTCCACTAACCAGCCTCGAGCTACATCATGTTGTCGGAATGGATAAAAACACTCCAGCTCTGAGAGTATTCGCCGCAGTACACGCCGGGTAAAGTAAAAGAAGACCTCTTTACTCCGCTGGAAATAATGGAAATTTTCGGTTATTTTATAAAATTTTCTATATTTAATTATAAATAAATGTTCTATGCTTCTAAAAAAACACCCTACACTTTTTGATTTCAGTGAAAAAACCCGTATTTTAGCGCCTCAAGCACCTTAGTGATCTAGCAAATTGCAAGTCATCATTAGCCATTAACAAATTTCGTCTGTGGTGAATCCCATTTTCAATTAGATAAATCAAAGTTGCTTTATTTTTATTTCGTGCTTTCTAATTGAGAACTTGTTTTGTGGTTGTAGCTTAGCTTTTAGTTGTACTTTTTATATTTTTTTGAAATCACAAGGAAAGTATATATTCTGGCTGAAAGTAAATAATATATTGAAATGAGCATTCATGTGTGAATTTCAGCATTGAACTTGCAACGAGTTCGCGTCCATTGAGTGAAACATGCCGCGAATTTCTAATAATCTCACGTAGCATGTAACGGCATACATACATACATACATATGTACATYCATGTATAGATATCGCGAAATTTGCCGGCTAACTATGAATTAGTATGTTTTTGTTTGAAAGAATGTGCGTGTGTGTGTGTACATGGGAGAGAGTGCCAACAATTGAATTGTTCCAATAAAGGTTTCCGTTCACAAAATTGCAAATATTTATATTTGTTCACAGGCGCGCATACACATACACATGAACATAAATGTAAATATGTAATTACGTACTTTTGGTGTGCATTAATTTGCAAAAAAATATGCAAAACAATTATCACCGATTACTTGTCATCAACTGTGGGTGAATGAAACCGGAACAGCTGAAATCACAAATGCAAATGTGTGTGCTTTTCTTGTTATTGTCTAATCGCAAATACGCTCTGAAGTGTTTAATAATAATTAATATTACTTTATTGCAATTAAATTAGTTTGATATTTTGTTCTCGTTCACTTTGGAATT